AAACATATTTTTCTTAAAACACAGAATGATAAATAGAGAACTAAAACAAACAATTATATCTTCTAGTTACGACCTTTGTACTCGGTTGCTGCTTTACGTAGATTGCTAAACCTTTAAAAATTTTGCAAATAGAGGATATGAAACAAAATAATTTTTTAGATTTGATATATACATTTGAAAAACTAAAAAAATCATAAATTACTATATTAATACATAGAATTCCACTATAATTTATCAAGCTTAGAAACTAAGATGTATTTTATTCTAAAATAACATGAAATTTTAAGCAGACTAAAGACACACCCTACCTCATTGAAATATTGATACAAAAGACAGAAATGGTGCCAAGTCAATTAAAATGGCTGAGAAAGCCACTAAGGGGACATTCTGATCTTCCGATTGGTTATTCATGTCATATATAGAAGTGTATATAAGGGAGCATTTCCGAAAATGGAAAGAGGTGGGCAGGGTGCCACTGTGTTTGATTTATGACACGAGCAATATCTTAGCAAATTGAAAAGATAAGAGGCTCTTATTTTATATTCTAGCTTATCAATATTGGTAATTTGAATTTATAATTCAATCAAAACTGTAGACTTAGTATTTTGACTTCACAAAACATCTAATTTGAACCAGTGCTACATTCAACATAACATGTGACACTCAAAAATTGATGTTTATCTGTGTTTTTTTAATATTTGCTTTTAAATTAAGTAATGTATAGTACTAAAGTTTGAATTATAATCTTCAGTTGGATACCAAAGTTATTGGTGTAAATTCATGAAATAGTAGTTCAATAAAATTCTGAATGTGTGTCAACAAATGAGATAATATGACCTTTCACCCATGACCCATTTGACCACTTTGTACTTGTTATAGTTTTGTACTATGAACTTTTATTATAGTATGTGTATCTTCACAAAATTTAGCAGACTTCCAGTAAACACACATCTTTTACATTCAAAAAATCAGAATTTTTAATGAAGTATTTTTAATAAAGATTTGTCCTTGAATATATCGAGTCTTTTTTTTTTACTAGTATTAATGCAAAATGAGTTTCATGTTAAGATTAAAAATACTTTTCTTCATCTCCAAAATCTCAAATTTCTTTTGCATAACTTCCAAAGCCTCCTGAATACATTTCAGACTTTTTTTTTCGCTACTCTAATTCTATACAAGTTTGGTCAGATTGACCATCCTTGTAACCACCAAAAAAAAATTCAAAATAGGTCTAAATTACCATCTTTTTCTTTTTAGTATGACTGCAACTTGTAACATGAAACTACATTTGTTTATCCTAAGTAGTTTTAAACGCGTAACAGTATACATCTATTTATACTCAAAGTTTATTGTTTATTGCCCATTAAATATTGTCTAACTAATATACATACCATTATAAGTTGTAAATCACTTGCGAAATGTGCAACTCACGTTACGCTATTGAATTACATTACTCATGAGCTACTCCAAGCTGCTTCCATGCATTCCTTGTGAAAATTTTTTTATTTTATTATTATTGTTATTATTATTTATTCTATCTAATCTAACCTTAAGGAATCTAAAGAGTTTCCTATTTTTACGTTTTAGTTACTTTTATAATAATAAGTAAAGGATACACATGAAAAACAAAAAATAAATTACTTACCTGGGCCTCCTTTTTTTTTCCTGTCGATGACACTTAAGCCTACTTTTTTATTTAATTAAATAATGCACTAAAGAACGTAGAATAATAACATGCAACAAGCAGACAAAGTTCCATAATTATTGCAGTTTTTCTGGCTTTCTAACTATGCGACAAGAGCTGTTACAAATTCATCTAAGCTAGTCAATGTGTTTTCGTGGGAACGAAGCTTGTACTGAAAGAGAAATTGACATTTAATAGATGAAAGCCTTAGCTTTCTATAAGTTAAAAATCATATAGTATTAAATGTAAGAGAGAACTATTGACAAATACTGAAAGGATGTGACAGGTGGGTGTGGCAAGAGGGGTCTGAATTTCTATTTGATGGCTCTTAACCAAACAAAATTGAATGCAATGACAATTATGCTTTATCTAAGTGATGACAATATTATAATAAGTAATTTATTTAAATTTCATATTCCTTTGAGGGGTAGTAAATAAATTAGAGAGGGGGAAATGCCTAAAAAAATGTTGCATTTCTCACACAAGGGAGATTCAGGATTTTTATAATATTGCCTTATAAAATTATGGAGGTAACCAATAACTACTAATCTATTTATGCAGGGGGATGATGTGAGTGGAAATACAAACAAAGAGCATCATAGCTTGGGTCCTTTGATCCCATATTTTCATGATGTCTTTTGTTACTTATTTATGGAATGGATTTTACTATTTTTAGCATAGCAGGATTACCATATAGCCATGAATCACAAGTTTACTTTCCATGGCATGTTTTTTATTAGATCTTGCTGTGTTTTAAGTCTTACTGTACACCTTTCAAGTGTTATCTGCTAGATTAGATATTGTGGTTGTTTTCAATGTCTTGATTCTAGTTCCTTTTGAGTCTTTATACCTTTGTAATTTGAAGTTTCTTTCTTTGAAACTTATTTTTTGCTCTTGCTAGGCACTGAATAGTGAAAGTTGTGTTAATATTGACATTCATCACATCCTTTTCTCACAGCAGTTGTTTTTGTAACCAAATTCTTATTTTTTCTTCTAAAGACTCAGTTTGTTGATAGGCCAAGGTGCTTTCCAGTTATTTTATCACATCCACTTGTTAATGATAGCATTTCAATCCTTTTCAACTCCTGTCTTTTGTTTGTGTAGGAGGATGCTAGAATGCTGAATGTAAACATTTTTTTTTAATTGCAAATGCTTGTCCATTTCATTGTTTTTTGAGTTGAAAGCTACACTCTCTCACTTGTTGAATGAAATTATTTATTGTGATCTGATCGAAGATCATTTGTAGCTTTTATAGATTGCGTCTCTTCAGATTTGACAACTTTCTGTGTCTTTTGCTGCTGCTGCCCAAATGCTTTCTTGATCTTCAAGTTGAGATGTGAAAGATGTCTCATACCTTCATAAGTCATTATTAACATCACATCCATAATGAAGGGATTTTGCCTTCCCATGCTTGGAATGGCAGAATCATCTTCACAGGATTTAATAAAGTGAGTACTTTTTTGACATTTATTTTTATTCCCCTTAAAAGAAGTGGCTTCCTCACTACTTGTGGCAGCAGTAGCATTGAAGGGAAGTTTGCATCTGGGGGCTCTCCACTGCTATAACTGATCTTAGTGTAGTAGAACCCCTTTCCTGGTGGAGAGATTGAAAACTGTTCACTGTGTTGCATTTGGGTTGGAATTTCAATACCTTTGCACTACTCTTGAGGTTAATGCTTGTCATTGATAAGATACAAGTCAACATCTTTTCCAGTACCCTCCTGGTTGGGATTCCTTGACAGGTAAGCATGGTTGTTTCAGAATATAGATTTCAGTTTCAACAAGTTAAGATTGTTGTTGTGAAATATACTTTTACCTAAAGATATATGTAGGCTGGATTCTGCTCACAGACCTAGTGAGTTGAGTAGTATGTACTAAGGGTGCTTCTTCACATCAGGTCCTTAGACTGGGGTTTTGTCATGGGGTCAACAGTGGGCTTCTAATGAGTATGATATCACTGGGTCCAGCTGCAAAAATTGTCTTACTCTTTCATGAGGGCATCAATAATACCCTAGCCAATTAGATGTTAAAATACCAGATTTTTTATGTTCTGTCTTTACACTGATTTACAGAACCACAAATTTCTTTCTTTCTCAGGAGTGGCAGGTGCTTATGCTTCTTGTCACATCTTCTCTGTTGGTGTGAGAAATGTAGCTAAATGTTATAGTAGACATATAATATTACATTTGAAACTAACATTTTAGAATTAAAATTGAGGTCAAAAATACACACTTACCTCTACTATAACTATCCTGCCCTTCTTAAACTGGTGGTCTGAGACAAACCGGGCTCATATATGGCAGCTAGAGTTACTAACATATATATAAACAGTCATATTGCCTTGTGGAGGTACAGAATACAGGAATGCAAAATATATGAGAAGAATTTTGGGATAGGAGAAAAGATAAAATTATATATATATATATATATATTTCTTGTAATGAACCAAGAACTGTATCTTAAGGTTATAGCAGAGGTATTTCTTTCAACTTTATTATTTTAATTTTTAATTACTTCCTATCACACGTACAATATGTGTGTTGATAAAATACTGTCATCTGTTAAACTTTCCATGAATTGTAGAATGATTACTTGGTAAAAGACAATCTTTAAATCATATTCTAGGATGTCCATGTGTTGATGCATCGTTGTAATCTATTATTTAATCAAGAGCTATGGGATGACTATGTTCCAGCAGCTAAGTTGGTTATGCTTAGTCACTGCCATCAGACTCAGAATCAAGAAGAAGTTAATGGTATGACTGCTGATAATTTTATATCTTCAAGGTTTCTTGTGATCAAACTATGAACTTAATTTTTATAAACTATTACATCTTACAAACATTGGATATTACCTGAAAACTTTGTTCATTTCTATTTCTATTTTTAATTTCTTGAGTACTTTTTCATGTTTTTTTCAGAAGTGGCACAGGTAATGGTGTACTTTTTTTTTACCATTCAGCTATTGTGTTAATGTAGTCAATAATGAAAAGTTATTTGCTGATTATTTAAATGTTTCATTGTAAATATAAAAATGTACATACTTTATTCCCAAAACTCACCATGAATATCATTAACAAAAGTTCATTTCTTAGTTTACTTTGAATATAAAATGAAATTGTAAATGAAATACATTACTCCAAAATTTCAAGGAACAAAATTTTACTATTAGTTTGTTCTCACCTAAATGGACTCGCAGCTGAAATTATAGCTATTTTTGATAGCGTATCATCAGTTACAACCTATGGAATGTGAGTATCCTTAAAATCCTTATGATGAGTGCTAGGGCCAGACTAATCAATGTTTCTGAGGGTGACATTGAACAAAAAGATATATTTGGTAATGAATATGTGCACCTCTGGTATTGATACAATCTCTGCTCCTGGGAGCCATTTTTTGCTCAGTCAATGAAGGATCCTGTTTCATTCCTCAATAAGTGTGACACCAGATGCTCTGAAGTGATAAATTAAGGCATCGATGTACATAATATCCAAGGTGATCTTGTAGGTTCTATATCAGAACAACCTAATGGCCAACACATGACTTGTATGTTTTCTTGTTCAAGGTAGTCTATCATAGTCTTGACAGTATGACTTCAGTCATCACCTGCATCAAAACAAAGTCTGTTCCAGTTACACGCACAAAAGTTTTTACAGCTGTGTTTAGTACTATATTGATGAGTGGTAGGTTTGTCCTTTGAAAGCACTATAATGTAGATGCATTTATGCTGATGCTTTCCTATACCTTAACTAAAATGTCACCAAAACATTCATAGAAGTGATGTTGCATTGAGAATATTTTTTACTGTGGCTTTTCAGACTTGAGTCCGCTGATAATATGTAGAGACATGAAATGTTGACTCCTATGTAAAGAGTAAAGGTGTATAATGACACTGCTACTAATTTTGAACTTGACAGAAAGTATGAAATACCTGTGCAATAAACAGTCAATCTAGAAATGCTTATTGGTTTTAACACTCTTATTACTGTCCTGATGACCATGTTGAGTACCTGAGAAATGGACTAGTGATTTCTAGTGGTCATGTTGTGGAGATATCCCTCTTAGAAGTGTGTTATGCTGCTGGAAACAGCATGCTTCAGTAACTATTCTCATCCTGCAGCAGATTGATTATATTATAGCATTTGTTTTGTTCATTTATTGTGATTAATAATATTCAAATAATGTATAAAATGTAGACGTATAGTGGAAATATTAAAAATGATAAACAGGTAGGTTCTAGTTGCAAGACAGGTAGTTTTATACAGACTAGTAGCATGTGGAAGACAGGTAATGTTACACAGATTACTAGCATGTGGAAGACAGGTAACGTTACACAGGTTACTAGTGCATGCAAGACTAGTGCTAGTATTAAACAGACTACTATCGTGAAAGACAGGTAGTGTTATACAGACTACTAGCATGTAGAAGATAGGTACTGTTATACAGGTTACTAGCATGTGGAAGACAGGTAGTGTTATACAGATTACTAGCACATTAAAACAGGTAATGTTATACAGATTACTAGCACATAGAAGATAGGTTGTGTTTTACAGACTATTAGCATGTGAAAGACAGGTAGTTTTATACAAACTAATAGCACGTGGAAGGTGGGTAGTGTTATACAGACTACTAGCATGTGGAAAACAGGTAGTGTTATACAGATTACTAACATGTGGAAAACAGGTTGTGTTATACAGATTACTAGCACATAGAAGATAGGTTGTGTTTTACAGACTATTAGCATGTGAAAGACTGGTAGTTTTTATACAGATTTCTAACACACTTAGACAGGTAATGTTATACAGACTACTGGCATGTGGAAGACAGGTAGTTTTTATACAGATTACTAGCACCTGCAAGACAGCTAGTGTTGTGGAGACTACTAGCACTTGCTAGACAGGTAATGTTATACAGGCTAACTAGCACGTGCAAGACAGGGCCCATCCAAAGATTATACAGGCTTGCAAATTTAAACTTCATAAAAGTTGTTTTGGTTTTAATAATGGATTTTCCATAATTCAGCTATGCAGATATCGAAAATAATATTCATTTTTTTTTATCACATAACAATTTTTATTTATATCAAATTTCCAACAAATTTACCACAAGTATAACAGAATATGTTTGGTTCATTTACACAATATCTTGTTGCCATAGTAACAAATAAATATTATTGAATTTAAAGAAATAATGTCAAAGTGAACAAGAAAACCATCGCAGGCCAGTGTTATAAGTTTTAACCTGAGGCTTATTGAAATATTATAGATTTCAAACCTGGACTTATCCAAAGATTATAAATTTTAGGTTTAGAAATGTGACCAGCTATTAGGTAAAAATGCAGATTATTTATGATTTTTCCATATTTACAAATTTGTCTAAAATGTTACATATATACAAATTACAGTTTTAATTTTTTTTTGATAAAAATATTAGGTGTATAAAAATGACAACTGAACTTGAAATGTATAAGCAGTTATTTTGTTTAAGCTAGATGTTCGTCATGAGCTGAAGGAAAATGTAAATGTGGAATACTGAGTTTCCCATTTTCAAATATTTTTTTAATGTATGAGCATAATAGCATTTGCATATTTCTAATTGTTAATTGATATTATTACCAAAGTTTTCCACATACACTGAGGCTGTTCATAATTTCATGATATCTGTGATCACACCTTTAGTATTCTGCACATGATACTGCAGATTAATATCTGCAGAAAAGTTTTTGTTCTTACATATGTTTGACCTCTTATTAATATTTTTTGGCCATGTTTCTACATGCATTTGATGTGTTTTATTCATTTAACACTCACTCACTTTATCCTTTATATGTTGTTACCACCTTTTTATGTAAAAGTTAGATGTTTCTTTTATAATTCTGACTGTTTTAAGAATTAAGAAGCCTTAAAGATCTTGGTGGTCTTGAGTGCAGATATAAAATATTATTTAAAGTATTTTTATTGTGTAGTTAACTTTCAAGGAAGTTTTTATGTATTTCAGCTGTATTTAAAAACTTGTCTGTGAGGAGAAGGCTGGAGGCACTACGAGATATCAGGAGAAAGAAGGACGTAGGTAAGCATTTTATGCATGTATTTTACAAATGCAAGTTTCGTTTGTTCATATTATTCACAATACATCATTAACTCTCTCAACCACATGAGCTTGTTTAAAGTCTTTAATAATTTAATACCTTTAACTTTTAATATAGTGTGTATATCTTCATAAAATTTGGCAATCTTTCAGTTAATATTATAAGTCTTTCGCATACAAAACTCGTATTTCTCAGTGAAGTATTTTTAATAAACTAAAAATAGATTTGTCCTTGAATATATTGAATATTGTTTTGAATAGTTCATGTGCAAAGTAATTTTTAACTTAAAATTAAAAATATTTTTCCTCATCTCAAGAATTTCAAATTTCCTTTGTGTAATCCATAAAACCTCCTAAATGCATTTCAAACTTTTTTTTCAGTAAAACTTTATAGTTTATCTGTTATTTTCTCTACCCTATCTCTACCCTAAACGGAATCGGTCAATTCGATCAACCTCGTAATCATAAAAAAAATAAAATAAATTGAAATACATCTAAATTACCCTCTTTTTCTTTATAGAATGACTTTAAATTATAACATGAAACTACATTCGTTTATCCTAAGTAGCTCTAACTTTGTAACAGTATACATCTATTTATAGTTAAATTTTATTGCCCCTTGAACCATGTCTAACTACTATCTGTGCCATTATAAGTTGTAACTCACTTGGGAAATATGCAGCTCATGTTACGCTAATGAATTACATTACCCACGAGCTACTATGAGTTGCTCATGTGTATGCCTCGTGAAACATTTCTATTATAATATTATTATTTATTTTACCTAATCTAAACTTAACTAACCTAACCTAAAAGGATCCCTATTTTTACATTTTAGTTATTTTTATAATTAGACATAAAGAATATACGTGAAAAACAAGAAATGAAATACTTAACCAACCTTCTTTTTTCTTGCTGTCAAACATATGAAAAAAAATTTGTTATGCTATTCATTATCATTCTTGTATTCAGAGCTTTAAATAATTATTTCTTTTTCATCAAAGTCCACACAAGTGGGTTTAATTACTTTAGAACACCTTTTGACAAGACAAATTATTATTCTTTATCTCTGTTGTTACTACCATACAAACAATGAAACTTACTTTAGAAATCGCCTGTTATGGCTAAAGTTGCATGCAGGCTAACTTCACTTTTCTTTCACCTTCACTAACTTACTTACTCTCTTTATCTGCACATATTTATCATGCATGACAGTAAAATCTAGAATTATCTAGCTTTCTAGTAACAACATTACATATAACGAGAAAAAGTTACATGTTTATATATAACAAGTAAAATAAAAACTTTTCAAAAAAGGAAGTAAATGTAGGGATGGCACTTGCATCATCCCTACATAACAGTACAGGCACACATTGTAGAAGAATGTTAACACACAAAAATAGATAAATTAAACTCAACTGTGATTGAATATTTATACATATTGCTATATGTTAATCCTATAAGACCCGGCTTCCAAGATTCTTGGCAGATAATGTCGCTCTTGTCATATTTTGTTCCAAAAATAAAACTAGTGGATGAAATTGTTTAAAATTTAACAAGAATGTTCCTAAAAGTTTGTAGTTTCAGAAAAATAAAATATTTGATTTATATTTTTTCTACTATTTCTAATAAAACAATTAGTGATTTAATGTAATTATTTACACCCAGACTCTGAATAATTCATCTGCATAATCTCTAGAACTACCTAAACGAGTATCAAAAGTTTGTTTAAGGTAAATGTTTTTATTTTTCATTTTCTCTACTTTATCACTAACTATTATCATCAGTGTACACTGCAATGAAATGTTTGAAATTAAAAATGGAAATATGTACATACCTTTTAGCTCTTCATAGAAGTTTTTTCAAACTTGTTTTTTTTTAATATGCTTAATTTCACTTCTTTATCTTTTCACTTATAGTTTATTTTTAATTTTCCTTTCCAATTCTTTGTCTTTTATTATTTATGCTTATTATTTATTTATTATTGTTTATGCTGCAGCAATCCCTTTACAGAGACTCATTTCACTAATGTAGATGACACATCTTGTTTATACACTTTCACAATTCAAGTGACAACAAGTTAAACTTATAAAAATCATTAAACCTTTCAAGTATAATTTTTTAAATCACAAATAATACATAATTCACTAAATTATAAAAGTAAGACCTAAATACAATTTAACTGTCTGTTTAACTATAGCATATTTAGGAAAGAAATCATTGTAAATGCTATAGTTGATGAAGCAGACAACAATACTAACAGCAGTTACATGTACACTGTGAGAAAAAGTGTGTGCCAATTAGCTGTTGGTAGAGTATAGTGTAAACTGAGCTCTTTCTAACAACTTTATACACTTTTGTCAAGTAACTACGTGTACATTGTAGATTTCACAGCAAAGTATAGAAAAAAATGGTTGAAAATTTATATTTGTTGCATAGAGAAACCAGCTACAGACTTTAAATTTCATGTACCAAATGGTCAAACACACGTAAATAATGTCTAGGTACTTATATACATTGCTTATGTGGCTAAGAGTGAACCACTGCTAAATTTGAGATTTTTTTGTAGCTCGTGGATCACGTGACATGAAAACTGCAGTTTAAGTGTTGTTTTTTTAAAAGTTTCTTTTGAAATAAAAGAATTATAACTTAGATAACATAAAAATACAAATTATAACATACATTATAATGTTAATTTCATTGACATATATTGGTAGTAAAGTGGTTTAATTAAATTTTGAATGTAATACAGTACATATGTAGAAAAAATGGCAACAGGGACCATAAAGTTAATTCTTTCCTGTGCTATTATATAGAGATGATGCAAATGCCATCCCTACTATCTTGCTTGCATTATTTTTGAAGAACTGATATTAGCCATCCCTACGTTTACTTTCTTTTATGAAAGGTTTTTTTTCATTTTTTTGCTTGTTTTTTAATGCAATGTTTCAATACATTTAGGAAGGTTGTACTTATAACTAACTTCTAAATACAGTGAGGTTCCAACTGTAATATTTATTGTTTATCCATTCATGGCTGGTAATTCCTGTTTCATCCTCTACTTAAGCTTTTCAAAAGAACACCTAATTTCTATAAGAAAGCTAACTTCAAGGGGTAATGATAATGTTGCGTCATCGAGATCACGTGACAATTCTCACGCTCTCTTGTTTCTAGAACTATCCCGTATCTTGGCGAATGGTCTAGTAATTACTAGAAATAGGGTACGCTGGTATATAAAAGAGGGGAAGGTAATGTGTGTGTGTGAAGATAGTGAGTAATTGAACTGCAGTCACAGGGTATCGTTGAAGTTAACGTTCGTTTGCTCGTGATACTGTTTGTTTTAGCGC